CCCGAATAAACAATCGTCTAATTCGGAAGCACTTCCAACATATAACTCTAGCCCAGACAAATCCCACACGCACTCGGATGGATTTCGAATGGGTGAAAAACAGTTCGTACCTTGGGAAGCGAAGGCGGTCGCAGCAGCGCCCGAAGGCTTCTTTCCCGTGGGCGGGACCGCCAATGGCGCAGCAGAACTTGAGGGCTCCTTCTCGAGAATGACCACAGGGGGAGACCCAGCGGCGGGGGAACTCACATGGACAGTGGCGCCGTGTGCGCCGCCCCCGGACGGCGAAGGCGAAGCCCCTCCAGACATCTGCGAAGACGAAAGAATCGGCGGCCGACGACGACGGCGCGATTCAAGAGAAATAGAGAAGCGAGTCGGAGGGCTGATCCGAAAGAAAAACGCGGCTTGAGTCGCTAAATAAAGACGAGGGTGAAAGATTACCTGGTTCGCCGATCGAACTTTATAAGGCTCGCCGATCACAAGCTCTGCACAGCTCACAGGAGAAGGGGCAAGGAAGCAGACGAACGGTTTCTAAAACAGGGAGAAGATTTGGCGGAAAAAACCCATTCCCCACAAATTTAAAGCGAAAAAGGGGAAATTCAAAATCCCGAAGTGACACAGCTCGCGCACCAAGGCCCTGAGTTGACGTTTTGCCTCCTGGTGTCAGGGCTCCGCGCCCGAAAACTGACACGTCCCGGAAAAGCAGCAGAGGGCGGGGACCGCCAAAGATTCCGTCTTTGCAACCGTCACTTCGGGTCACTAAGACCGAAGCCGAGCAAGAAACCATGAGGAAAGCGGTCAAGATACGCTTTACGACAAAAACAGGGAGTACAACACAAATGCAGCCGCCCCTTAGGCGATCCCGCTCTAGGCCCTCGCGGCCAGGGGCAGGACAGGCAGTCATGGGCAGGACGGCCCTAAACCGCTTCATAAAGGAAAAGAGTGGTTAGCCGCGAGAGCCTAAAGCCTCCCACGCCTAAGGGGCAAATGTTAGGCCAGCGGTTAAGACTTATGGGCCTCAAGCCCATGACTCGCCAAAAAGCCCACCAGGCAATTAAGTCCAGCCCAAATGGACACGAAAGGCGGTCTACCCTAGGGCAAATGACCCGAAGGGACGCCCGACACCCCCGCAACGGGACCTCAGAGAACCGCCCGACAGGTGAGACGGGTATCCTCTGAACACTTGGTACGGAGACTGTCAAAAGTACAAACCTGACAGTCTCAGGGGATCAGGGTTCAGACGGTCCGAGACCGCCCGACATAGCATTAAATGTCCTGGTCCCCGACCCTCGCTAGTATAAATACCCATCTCGGATCACATTAATGGTAACTTCTACCAACTCGATTCTCTCTCTTATTCACTCTCATTTCCACTTCTCTCTCTAACTTAAGCATCGGAGGAGGTCCCGGGAACCCCCTGAGGACCTTGTTGCAGGGTTTTGGAGACCGCCCTCGACCATCGAAGCCGCCCAAGGCTAGTGGAGTCTCACAAAACCGCTTGGGACAATCCAAGCACAAACAATAAGATAAATTGTGCTTCATACTTAAGAATTTAATTCACCAAAATCCATCATAAAATCTAACAAAGAAACAAATTGTTTTCCCAAATTTATTACAGATGCATAAATTTTCAAAATCTTAATTTTAATAAAAACCTCATTTTTCAAATTCAACCAAAAAATCACACGCATGACGCAACTCCTTCTCCTACTTTTATCTCGTGAGTCGTGACTCCTAAATAGGCCGCTTCTTCTCACCTTCAAATTTGGGGGAGGGCTAGCAATTTATTTCAGGGCCAAATTCTATGACCCGGGCGTGGAGAATGGACCGAGCCCACCATTATAGATTGGTTTCTTTGGCCCTTTTTTTCGGGAGATATTTAAGCAAAATTTGTACGCGCAATACACACGGGTTATAGTAGTGCCGACTGCAGGGTGAGTTTTGCTCTCAAATTTGACTTACCTGTTTAATAGTTTGAGTTGTGCGTTAACCCGCAAAAACAATTCACTAATTAGCCATAATAAAAATCCACTAACATGTATAATAAGTTGCTTGCAAATTAGTAATATTATTATACCACTTTAGACACTTCTCACTTTATGTCATATGAATGCTAGTAGTATTTTGCATCAATGATTTCATTATTTCATCAAGCAAGTATGTAGATTTTGATAGAATTAATAGCTTATAATTTTCATCCTATTATATAATGGATATTACACAACATAACTGTTTGTACCTGGATCGTCCCAGGCGGTTGTGTGAGACTCCACGACCCCTGGCGGCTTCAATAGATGGAAGGCGACCTCCGGGATCCTACAACAAAGGTCCTCAGGGGTTACCTGGGACCTCCTCCGATGCTAAAGTTAGAGAGAGAAGTGAGGAAATGTAAATAAGAGAGAGAATTCGGTTGATCGGAGTTACCATAAATGCTGCCCCTTTGGGGCTATTTATACTAGATTGTCTACGTACTGAGACATTTAATGCCATGTCGGGCGGTCTGGGACGCCTCTGGAGACATTAAATGATGTGTCAGTACGAATGTCTGATCATCTCTGCCTGGCAGAGCTTCAGTCCTTTTGTCGGGCGGTTTACTAACGTCAGCAGCACGTCAGTGTCGGGCGGTTACCACGATAAGCTTGGACTTAAACCGCCCTGGCTTGAATTATCCATTTGTGCGCTTTTGTAACCATGGGCCTTAGGCCCACGTATGTCAATACTAGGCCCAACATTTGCCCCTTAGTCGTGAGAAGCGTTGGGTTGTCGCGGCTATTCCTTTACAATCTATGATGCGGTTGATGCTCATGCGGTCCATGGTTACATTCTTGCCCCTTGTCGCGATAAGCTATTGTTTAGGAACGGCTATGGGGCGGTCCGGGCGCGAGACGCATTGCCCCTCGTTCTTGTGCTGCCACGTGGCCCGTCTCGGGCGTGGTGCGTTGTCAGAGGCAGACAGAACGCCACCTCTGACACCTTGGGCTACGGGATTTACTATAAGTGGCCTTGAGTCCACTTTTTCCTGCCACTTTCCATTCCGTTTGCAAGAAAACTCTTGTCTTCTTCTTTCTTCTTCCTCTGCGTCACGATTTAGAGCCTGGATTTCCCGGCGATGAGCACTATAAAACCGACCCTTCCTGCGGTAAGCGCCGCCATTGCATGTTTAAGGGGTGTTCTCTTCTTGCTTTATTTTCGCTCTTTGTACATTATCGAACGGTGCCCCTTTGTCGCGCGTCGGGTTTCGTTGTTCTTCTTCTTGTTGCTGCAGATGTCTATGGAGGGACAAAATGTTTCGACCGGCGAAGCAAACCAGGGAGCCGCCGGCGCTCTTGACGGCGAGCTTACCGCGGCGGTTACTCTCCCTTCGGCCGCTACCTCGGGGACTGTGCCCCCTCCTTCGCTCACTCCTGGAGAAGAGTCTTTGGGGCCCGTGGCGCCGCCCTCCTCCGCCGCTCTTGGGAAGAAAGCGGTTGCGTCTACTGGTGGTGCGACTCCCATCGCGCAAGGTACGATTCGTTCTCCCTCCGCTCGAAGCGTTCCCGAGTGCGTGTTTGACCTATCCGGTCTGGACTTGTACTTCGGGAGCGGTTCCGAATTAGACGATTATGTTTTTGGGGGCCCCTTGGGTTTAGATAACTTTTTTGCTAACACGCGCCCTGTACCAGTTGGGGTTGTGGAAACTTCGTCTGCGGTGGGGGATAATTTAGGAGAGTTTGGGGCAATAGATTTAGATAGCGGTTCCTCGGGTGAAGAGGAGACAATTAGTAGCGACGGAGTGAGATCTGAGGCGGTCCCTAGTACTTCTTCGTCGCTGGAGGTAGATGATTCGGAGGGGGAGGATGTGTCGCGGTTGGCAATTGAGGACGCGACTTACACAATCTTGCGTCATGAGGGCATGTGGGGCGGTCAACCAGTGCCCCCGGAGGTTTTGGAATACGGCCCAAAGTATGTGGCGGCCTTGAGGCCTGCACAGGTCCTCCATCGATTAAATGCTTTGAGTCTTCCCCCTGAGTGGGATTACGCGGCCCCCTCCAAGGAATGCCGATCTGGGTCGTGTCCGGAGGGCTGGATCCCTATCTTTGTGGAGCACGTAAAGCTAGGTCTGCGGTTTCCTTTGGATCCCATCCTGACACAGACGCTGACCTGGTTAGGATGCACACTTGGACGGCTCTCGCCCTCCATCATCTTCCACTCGGTTATGTATCGGTATGCGTGTAGCCGCCTGAAGGAGACTCCATCCTTTGATGCGTTTCGGCTACTGTATAAGATCAGGGATTCGACTAACTGCTGGTCTATCGGAAGGCGGGATAGTACCATTGGTTTGGTGTCGGGGTCGCCCAAGCTTGACTTTCCTTGGTATAGGGAGTATCTATTTGCCCGCCCAACGGGGCAGTGGTATTCTGGGGGGACCGCTCCACCAACAGGGTATGCCGTTGGATCCAAGGAGTCTTGGTGCTCCTCGACCCAGTATTCCTCTGCGGTTAGGGACCACGTAGACCGCCTCAATGAAGGTTTTTTTTTGCGTGTGTTTCCCAGCGGTTCAGGGAGTGCGTACGAGCATGTTCGCGATTTTTATGGTCAGTAACTTGTGTCCTTTGTTTGTACTGTTCCCATTTTCTCATATGAGTTTACTTATGCTTTTTTCTTCCAGGGTTGAGAGCTTTGGCGGATGCGGTTCGTCCCAAGAAGAAGAACGCCGTGGTGAAGGTGAATGATCCTCGGGGAGCGGGTCCCTCATCGACTTCCCTCAGCCCCAACGCCAAGGGACGCCCTCTTCACCTTGTGTGGTTACCCGTGGCGCGGGTAAGAGGCCGATGAAACCTTGCGTTCCCGTCAATGTTGCCAAGCGGTCGAGGACCGGTTCGCCACGTTCGAAGGCTGGGGAAAACCGCGGCAAGGGTGTGTCCCCTTCAGTGAAGTTAACTCATGTTGATCTTCCTCCTCAGGCGGCCACTGACGGCGAGGCGGCTGAACTCGCATTTCACACAATCTGCGATCAGCTTGCTATGCCTCCTGAGTATACAGCTTCTTCGAGTGGCAACAATAAACGCCTCGCCGGAACCGCCACTCAGTTCTTCTTTGCGGTACGTTTATGGTGATACACTTCCATGATTGTTGAGATTTGTTTGTTCACCTCTCTGTCTCCCATGTTTCAGGCCCAGATTGGATTCTCTCAGATTCTCATGAACAACGACCGTCTATCAAAAATCGTTGATGACCAGGCCGTGGAGATTGCCAAGCTGAAGAAGAGTTCGAGTGAGGGGAGAGAAGCATTGATGGGGGAGATTCGTCCACTGATGGAGTGGGAGACCGTTCGTGCTGAAGCCGGCCCAGCATACTTTGAGTCCGTCGAGTTTCAAGCAATTGACAATGAAAAGTACAAAACCATTGTTGGCAATGCGGTCGCTGCCATTCGACATTGGTTTCATATGGACCAACCGGAGGCGGTTTGGAGTACCGACGAGATCTGGGATGCGGTCGGCGCGTGGACGGACGCGGACGTGAATTCTGAAAATGAGGAAGAAGAAGGTTCCCCGGGTGGTGATGCTGGGGGCGATGGTGGTTCCCGCAATCTGTGAGTGGTTTATGTGTTTCATTGTAACTTTATATGTTTGAAATTAAGACAATGCATACTTGATGCTTTCCGACGTTCTTTCCTTGAGGAAGGCGTCCTTTTGACAATTATGTTCATTATTAGGGTGGGTTCTGATGACCGTCACCCTGTGCCAGTTATGTGCTTAGATTTTCATCTCATTTTCTAAGTTGCGAGTTGTGCCTCGTTAACTTATGCGGTTAACGTCAGTGTTAGTTTTTAACGCAACTCTGGGGGTCGCCAGCGTAAGTTTTACACGGAATGGGCGATCGTGTTTGCAAAAGACGAAAAAACTTAGCCGAAAATTTTCTAGTGTATTACATGAGCAAAAGGGGTTGCTGTGCTAGCCAACAATACATTGGTACAAGGGCGGGTGTGTACCCAGGCCCATCAAAATAACACTCGAGCTACCAAACAGCCCTTCAGACCGCAGCCGAGTGATACCTCCTTAAATGTATGCCGTTCCATGTTTTGGATATGGGATGTCCTTCCATGGTGGCTAGTCGAAAGGTGCTGGGACCTGTTTTTTCGCCAATGAGGAATGGCCCTTCCCATGCGGCTCCAAGTTTTCCATGTTCGTCTTTGCGTTGGAAGTCGCGTTTGAGGACCATGTCCCCTTCTTCCAGTGGTCGTGGCTTAACCTTCTTGTTGTAAGAAGCGGCCACCTTAGTCTTCTCGCTGATGATGCGTTCCAAGGCCGTGTCCCGTCTTGACTCCACCATGTCCAGCTGATCTAGTAGCCTTCTGTGATTGCTTTCGGGACTGTATGCTTGGACCCGAAGAGAGGGTAAGTTCAGTTCTTCTGGAGTTACCGCTTCGGAACCATAAGTGAGTGCGAAAGGTGTTTCGCTAGTGGCCGCCTTGAAGGTTGTGCGGTGAGCCCAGAGAACGTGAGGAAGTTCAGTCGTCCATGCCCCTTTAGCGTCTCCGAGACGCTTGTTCAGTCCCTGTAAGATGAGCTTGTTGGACGCGTCAGCTTGACCATTTGTCTGTGGGTATGCCACTGATGCCATGGTGAGCACAATGTGGTTTCTTGCGCAGAAGTTCTCAAATGGGCGACAGTCAAATTGCGTGTCGTGATCGGTGACAATTGACTATGGGATACCAAAACGAATCATGATATTGTTGAACACAAACTTCTGTATCCTGGAGCTAGTGATGGTCTCCAGCGGTTTAGCCTCAATCCATTTAGTGAAGTAATCTACTGCCACTATCAGATACTTCTTACCCAGAGGAGCCGTGGGAAAGGGACCAAGGAGGTCAATTCCCCATTTGGCGAATGGCCACGGTCCGACCACGCTTTGCAGCTCTGAACTGGGAAGGTGATGCTTGGAAGCATGCACTTGACACCGGTGGCAGTTGAGGACAACCTCTGATGCGTCCTTCTTGATTGTCGGCCAGTAGTAGCCTTGCAGGAGGATTGTCCTTTCAAGCGATCTAGGACCTGCGTGTGTGGCGCAAGTCCCCTGGTGAATCGCTTTTAAGGTCCACCGTGCCTCCTCTTTGCTTAGGCATTTCAAGTAGGCTCCGGAGAACGACCTTTTGCACAACTGACCGTTCACAAGTGAGTATCGAGCTGCTCTTCGCTTGAGTGCCTTCCTTTCCACTGGGTGCTGGGGGGCGATATCATGCTCAAGGTATTGAATCAGAGGGGACCTCCAGTCGGCGGCTTCCTCGATACTCATGACTTCCTCCAGCAGATCGCTCTCCTTTGAGACGGTAACATGTCGGTCTCCTTCAAAATCCATGGCGGTCGCGAGTTTGGAGAGGGCATCAGCATGTTGGTTGTCATCCTGGCGGACATGATCAAGCTTCCATGTGTTCAGCTGTCCTAACGCGCTTCGAACTCGATTGGCCAAGACCGCCAGTTTTTCATCCTTGATTTCAAAGGTTTCGTGGACCTGTTTGACCACCAAGAGGGAATCAGAAAATATGTGGACGTCTGACGCGCCCAAGTTGGAGAGCATCTTTAGCCCGTTGATGAGTGCCTCATATTCGGCGACATTGTTGGTCTTGATGTCCTTGAACCTTAGCGAAATTTCATGGATTACACCTTCTGGCGACTCGATCACTATACCGGCCCCTGAGGCGGTTTTTCCGGCCGCGCCATCAATGAACAGACGCCATATTTGCGGTCTACCATCTGTCCAGGGAGTCTCGAGGGAAAATCCTTCTGCGATGAAGTCGGCGAGTACTTGACCCTTGATGGCAGGTCGGGGAGCGTATTCGATGTCATACTCACTGAGCTCTATGGCCCACTTGGTTAAACGCCCTAAGGCGTCCATGCCCCTCATGATGCTTTTCAGTGGGAGGAGAGAGAGAACCGTGATAGGGTGCTCTTGGAAGTACGGCCTTAATTTTCTAGCCGCTGAAGTCACTGCGAGGACGGCCTTCTCCACTGGGAGGTAGCGGGTCTCGGCCGGGAGGAGTGCTTTGCTCATGTAGTAGACGGGCTGGTCGAAGCCATCTTGTGCTCTTCTTACGAGCACCGAGCTGACTGCTTGCTCGGAGACCGCTAAGTACAGATAGAGCCGCTCACCGTTGACGGGGGCGCTCAAGACTGGCGGGGAGCCCAGTTGGTTTGTCAGCAACGCGAAGGCTTTGTCACACTCGTCATTCCATTGTAGCTTTGATGCTGTCTTCTTCAGCATTTAGAAAAAGGGGGAGCACTTGTCTGCCGATCGTGGGATGAATCGCCCGATACCTGCCATCTTTCCATTGAACGCTTGGATTTCTTTGATGGTCTTTGGCGGCTTCAGGCTGCATATGGCTTCGATTTGCTTTGGGTTAGCCTCTATTCCCCTTTTGGTGATCATAAACCCAAGGAACTTTCCCGCCTCGGCACCAAAGACGCATTTGAGGGGGTTGAGCCTCAGAATCCTTCGTCTCAGTGTTTCAAACGTTTCTCGTAAGTCGGCTAAGTGGTCTCCTGCCTTCTTGCTCTTGACTAACACGTCGTCGACATATGCCTCCACGTTCCTCCCCATCTGGTTTTTGAAAACCGCATCTACCATGCGCTGGTAGGTCGCACCAGCGTTTTTCAACCCAAACGGCATGACCACGTAACAGAAGTTACCCATGGGTGTCATGAAGGCCGTAAACTCTTGGTCGCTTTCAGCCATTCGGATTTGATGATATCCTGAAAACATGTCTAGGAAACTGAGCGCCTCGTGATTAGCGGTTCCGTCAATCAACTGGTCGATGCGGGGTAGGGGGTACGAATCTTTGGGGCATGCCGCGTTGAGACTTGTGAAATCGATGCACATCCTCCATGCGCCCCCTGCCTTTCTCACGAAGACGGGATTTGGGAGCCATGTAGGGTACTTCACCTCTCTGATGAAGCCGGCTTTGAGCAGTCGCCGTACTTCCTCTTCAAGGGCCATTTGTTTCTCCACCGATAGGTGCCTTCTCCTTTGTTGGATGGGTCGCATTTTCTGCTTGACTGATAGATGATGCTCGGATATGTGGCGGGGCACGCCTGGCATATCCTCCGGTCCCCATGCAAAGAGGTCTTCAAACTCTCGGAGGAGTGTAAGCAGCTTTTGTGCCTCTTCGACCGCCAGGTGGGACGAGATGCGGACCGTCCTGTCCGGACGCTCCTCGTCTAGGGCGACTGCGACATTGCCTTCGACGGCCTCAGGGCGTGGAACGTCGCCTCTTGCATCTACGACGTCGACTTCCAGGTGCTCGACTGTCGCCTGGTAGCATTCTTTGGCTTCTTTGATGTTTCCCCGGACTCGTCCCATTTGTCCGCCACTGGGGAACTTCAGCATTTGATGGCAAGTCGAGGCGACTGCCTCGAATGAGGCTAGAAAACCGCGTCCTAAAATGGCATTGTACGCGGAGGGGCAGTCTGCCACGTGGAATTCTACCGGCTTTGTCTTGGTGATACCTCCTTCTCCAATGGTGACCTTCAGAGTGATTGAGCCCATGATGCGGACCTTTGTTCCTGAGAATCCCACCAAGTTGGTGTTTGATGGATTAAGGTCCCGGACACTCTTCTTCATTCCCTTGAGCGCCGAGTAGAAGAGGATGTCGGCAGAGCTTCCGTTGTCGACGAGGGCTCGAGTAACTTTGAACTTTGCGGTCCTGAACGATATGACTAATGGGTCTTCTGAATTTTCCTCTTTAGCCAGCTCGGAGGGTAAGAAGGTGACGTCTGTGGTTGCTCTCGCCTGAACATTGAGGCATTGGGCTATGCGGTCGCCTTCGAATCTGGGTCGCTTCCGACCTCCCGCGATGGTGATGACCTCCATTCCATCATCGTCGTTGCGCTGGGGCCGGTAGGTGGGAGATTGCCTTTGGGGCGACGCGATCTTGTTCCTGGCAGGTGACCTCGACCTTTCCTTTCGTGCTCTTCTTGTTTTTTCTAGATCGGGGCTGTGAGAGTCTTCCCGCGCCTCTTGCGAGTGGCCACGATGAGAGCATCTCGTCTCCAGGCGGCTACTCAAGTCGCCTGGGGCTAAGTACCTGAGGCTAGCCTTAAACTCTCGACACTCCGTGGTGTCGTGAATCGTGACTTGGTGCCAGTCGCACCACTTCTTCCCCTCTTGGGGTTCTTGTCCGGAGGAGGTCTCTTGCTTTCTTCCTCCTCGTCGCCTCTCCTTTCCTCTCTCGCGGTCTGTAGAGAGTACTTCCTTCTTTCCGTCGCGGTCAGAATACCGGTTGCGATAAGATCTTCGATCTGGGGAGCGTCTTCCCCGGCGTGTGTCTCCTCGCTCTTGGTGGTCGCCTTGTTGGCGGGCCGACTGGGAGCGGGGTTTTAAACAGTTCCCTTGATAGCGGGTTTTTGGAGAACATTGGGGCTCTTGTGCTTCCTGTAAGTTGAACGCAAGTGTTCCTCCAAAAATCCGAGGTCTGCTTCCTCCGTGTCCGGTCCTCCGCCTTCTGTTCGAGCAGGGCTGTCAAGGACCTGGACTGCCTTTTGCTTGTCCTCGCGTGTCTTTCCTTTAGATCCTTCTGCGGCCTCCTCTCGCGTTCTTAAGAGTTGGAGGATTTGGGAGAGGCTGTCTTGCATGTTTGCTATTTGCATACCCTGGCTCTTGACGACCTCCTCGAGTTCACTCTCGTCTTCGACTCTCGGCGATAGGCCTCGGAGAGTATTGTTTTCTGTCATCCCTTTGAGAGGGGTCTCGAAATCGTCTCCCATCTTTCTTGGCAATGAAGTCGTGAGGCCCCACGGTGGGCGCCAAAATGTTTGTACCTGGATCGTCCCAGGCGGTTGTGTGAGACTCCACGACCCCTGGCGGCTTCAATAGATGGAAGGTGACCTCCGGGATCCTACAACAAAGGTCCTCAGGGGTTACCTGGGACCTCCTCCGATGCTAAAGTTAGAGAGAGAAGTGAGGAAATGTAAATAAGAGAGAGAATTCGGTTGATCGGAGTTACCATAAATGCTACCCATTTGGGGCTATTTATACTAGATTGTCTGCGTACTGAGACATTTAATGCCATGTCGGGCGGTCTGGGACGCCTCTGGAGACAGTAAATGATGTGTCAGTACGAATGTCTGATCATCTCTGCCTGGCAGAGCTTCAGTCCTTTTGTCGGGCGGTTTACTAACGTCAGCAGCACGTCAGTGTCGGGCGGTTACCACGATAAGCTTGCACTTAAACCGCCCTGGCTTGAATTATCCATTTGTGGGCTTTTGTAACCATGGGCCTTAGGCCCACGTATGTCAATACTAGGCCCAACAATAACAATTAATAGTAATCCAAAAATATTATTTATTTTCCATCTTTAGAAGAAGATAGATGGTTATTGCAGTTATGAAATATGATGAATATTCGTTAGTATTTAAAAAAAATTGTCATGTGAAAATATGATACCCGCAATCCACTCACCAGAATGAGTGTGGATAGAAAATGTATCAATTCGCAATCCACCCAGATCAATCATCCATCTACTACGATACGAATTATTTACGGTTAGATTGATATTAATTTGCGGATTAATCCACTTGTCTGCCAAGGGATCAATTTTCCAATATCCACTAAAATTGCATGCGACTTTAAAGTTATTGCGCGTATATGTTTACAAATATGATTTCCTCGAAAATTGAACTTTACAAACTATGTATAAACTTCGAATATGAAATCAAAATAAAGAGTAGGCCTTTCTTGTTCCATCGAAATTGTATACTTATTACATGAAAACCCACATCTCTCGAGACATGGAAGGAAATACACGAACAAACATATATAAATTCAAACTTTGCCCCCAAATAAACCCACACGAAAATCACCAATAGCAATACAACTGCGCATGCAAATTAAATGTACGAAATTAAAATAAATAATTCCGCAACGACGACGTATTTATATATAGTTACAGTACTTCCTTTCACCAACCTTCACACCGTCCATTTCACTCAGCAGCAAGACCACGCGGCTCCAACATGACACGTAGTCCGTGCTTCATGAACAACGTCAGCGACATCTTCTGCACCACGCGGTGGCCCGGCTCCGGCGACAGGCGGTAGCGCAGCAGCACCGCCGACGCCACCGACTTCATCTGCAAGTATGCCAGGTCCTTCCCGAGGCACGTCCTGGGCCCCGCATTGAACGCCACGAACTTGTACCCGTCCTTGGGCGTCTCGAACTTGTAACCGCCGCCGCTCTCCGACACCCACCTCTCCGGCTTGAACTCCAGGCAATCCTCCCCCCATATGCTCTTCATCCTCCCCATCGAGTAGATCGAGTACGTCACCGACGACCCAGCCGGCACCACCGTCCCGTCGGGCAGCACGTCGTCCGCCACCACGTACTTGAAGTCCTCCGGCACCGACGGGTACAGCCTCAGCGTCTCCGCCAGGGACGCCTTCAGGTACACCAGCTTGTCCGCCTCGTCGAACGTCAGCGGGTCCTCCACCCACTTCTTCGGATCCTCGCCACGTGTCTCTTTCAGGACGGTCGTGATTTCTTTTATAATCTCGTCCTCCACGCGCCGGTTGTTCATCACTAGCCAGAAGAACCAGCTGAGCGCGACAGATGACGTGTCGCGCCCGGCCAGGACGAAGTTGAGCGCGATCCGCTGGAGGACGGGAACCGAGAACGGGTTCCCGTCGGCGTCACGCTTCTTCAAGAAGCGCGACAGGAGATCGTCGGAGGGCTTCTCCTTCCTCGCCTGTACGGCGTCGTCCATGTACTTGCCAACGATCTGGAGGCTGGCTGTGAGGCGCCTCTCTGCGCCGATCCCGAGGAGCTTCTCCACGCGCCAGAGGAGGCCCGGGTAGAGGAGTCGCTGGAGCGTGGCCTCAGTGGCGGTGTCGAAGGCGAGTGCGAAGGGGTTGTCGGGCATTTCCGGGGAGAGAGTTTCTGGATCCTTCCCGAAGGTGAGGCCGCAGATGTTGTCGAAAGTCAAACGAAGCAAGAGGTCCTGGAGATCGAGGGCGGTTTTGGTGGCAGCTGCGCGGCCCAAGATGGGCCAGAGGCGGGCCTTGATGGTGCGGTTGACCCAGCGGGCCATGGCCTGGCGGAGGGTGCGGGTGGTGAACTCGAGGGCGGCGGTCTTGCGCTGGATGAGCCAGGTGTCGCCGTCGCTGTTGAAGATGCCCTGGCCCAGCAGGTCGTGGAAGGCGGCCTGCCACTGTGGGCCCTTGGGGTAGTTGTCGAAGCGGGTGCGGAGGATGTGCTCGATGTTTTTGGGGTGGCAGGTGACGGTGTAGAACCCTAGCGTCCTGGCCAAGAAAGGGAAGGGGATGGTGCAGGTCTGGTACGTGGACGCTCCGCCGGTGCCGCGGAGGTTGCCGGCGACCCAGTCGTGGAAGCGGGCCCGGTTCTTGTAGAGGAGTGGGAGGCTGCCCACCAGCGGCCATACTTTGGGGCCGGTGAGCTGGCGGGCAAGGAAGTAGAACCAGACTAGGTAGATTGCAGCCGCGGTGAAGAAGAACAAAGATAGAGTTAGAGTCTCCATATTTCTTCTTCTTGCTTCTTGTTGTGAATTGATGGAGCTAGGCTAGCTAGAGCGGGCGGCCAGTGATTGATTTGAGAGAGATGGGGAGATTGGGATAATGGAGTTTTTATAAATGGAAAGTTGTTGTGACTGAATGGCTGACTTGTGAGGTAATTAAGGTTATTGCAGGCAGGAGTTGTTGGGAAATTTGTTTATTTGGGTGCATGGATGAATCATTGGAAGGTTTTTTGTAATAGGGTAGGGTTGATGAGATATCATCAATAACTGTCTCTACAAGTAAGGCAAAAACCATGGACAGAACATTATTGTCTGTTTCATTTTCCAGGGGTGAGCTAGGGGTTTATGGGTCGTCTGAGTTGGTAGGAAGGGAGATCCAAAAATGTATGCTTGTGGGTATAACCATAATCAATGAAGGGTAGGTGATTGGGATTTTGACTCAAGCATTTTAGTATCGTCGTTTGGTTTAGGGCTAACTTAATTTCTAGAGGACACGAATCCAAGATCTATGGTTGATTTTAAGTGCCATGTGGCCGAATTGTTTAGTAGTATGCTGTCAGTTTGATTGTGTGAGAAGCAGGAAACAATAATTTCTTGATATTTTAGTAAAATTAATGTGGCGAGACAAATTGGTGAGACATAAACATTCGTTTTTGTTTTTATTTTTATTTTGCTAGTATTTGAGAAACCGTGAAAAATACTTTATTAGCATACAATTTTTAGCAGTATGAAATGACCGAACTATTATTTCACTACAAAATACTTAATCACTAATATTTTTAGTACAACTTTCGATACTGTTTCACAATTTTTAGATTTACGTCTTTTCTCTTATATTAATTGATGAGTTAAAAAAATTAGCTCAACTCGCATTCAGAATATTCAACACGATCCGGTCAGCCCAAGTAAAATTGAATGTTGACTAGGTTGGAATTAAGCTGGGTTGAGTTTGAATTTGGACAATACCCAACCCAAAGTTTAATACGAATATATATACTGCGAGGATAAAAATATCAGGCCAATTATCATCTTCTAAACCTATCCGCCAACTTGGTGATAAGGGCTCAAAGGCTCAAACTCATCTTTGTTGGAAGCAGGGGCTTTGGGCTATGGAGATAAGGGCTATGGCCCAACAGTTGGGTCAGATTTACAAAACGAGAGACAGTGCAATCAGGTAGCGCACATGATGACTCATACAATGTGTTTGATGATAAGAGCAAGAGTTATGGGTCGCGAGACCACCTATTTTTATTGCTTCTTTACTTCACTTCAGCACGACTGTAATGCTACTTTGATATCGTAATAAAAGCATACAAGTTTTTTTGTAAAAAATAAAAAACCTATCCGCCAACAACGTACGTCTAACTCATTAAAAAAAAACTACGTACGTCTACCAATTAAACTAAACTTCACCAACAAGTTACAACTACCACATAAAGAACTCTATATCGTAGAGGGTCATGTAATGGTTATGGAAATTGCTTAAATAGAGTTTCCATTTGAAGATTGAAGTAGGCAGTAGAGAGTTGGGTAAAATCAGTTGATAAATAATAAATTTCGTCTGAGTTTATCCTAAATTCCGCTAAATATCAGTTAGTGTCCAATATATACCATAACTAGTACAATGATTCAGAAGAATATATTAGTGTTTGATGAAATTATTTATGATTATGTCTATGAAGTGTCATAAACCAGTTGCTCCCGAATTATTGGGAGAAGGTTATGCTGGATCTTATACTAATCTCTAATATGAAGTAATGGACATTTATGGACTTGATGATATCCATTGGGTTGAGTTTGAATTCTTTTCTTTAAAGTCCAATGAATCTTTTATTGGGATTTTTAACTGGGTGGACCTGATTGATATGGTATTCCTAAGGGTGTCCCCTTGGAAGGGAGTGATGAGATTTGGTAAGAAGGGAAAGCTTAGTCCGAGGTATATCGGCCCATATGAGGTGTTGGAGCGCATTGGACCCTTAGCCTATCGACTAGCCTTACCTCCCAGCCTATCTAGGATTCACGACGTTTTCCACGTCAGCATGCTAAGGGCGTATCGATCCAACCCGGAGCCTGTGATTAGACACAAGACATCCAGTTGGAAGATGATTTGACCTATTAGGAGGTCCCAATCCAGATTGTGGATAGGGATGGCAAAAATATCCGTAACCGTGGATATCCGCCCGAACCCGGCCTAATCGGATAGGGTAAAACCCGAACCCGAAGGACATTTAGTGGGTACGGGTAAAACCCGAACCCGAATATTGCGGGTATGGGTGGGCATGAGTTTCTCAGTATCCAACCCGAACCCGCCCGATTATACATATACATATGTATTTTGTCTAGAAATAGTCATTATTTTTCTAATATATTTTATATTTTAGCATATAAATATAATATTTTCATGAAATTGTGTTGTTTTAATTAATTTTCTTCATTCTAGTGAATTATTGTCATACTTTTCCTCTTGCGTAATGTGAGAATACGTGTGAATGTTAATATATTTGTTGGAGTTATGAAGAGAAATCATTACCCATGGATAACCGTGGATACCCGAAACCCGAACGGGTATGGGCATGGTTTTAATTTTCTACCCGTTTCATATGTGGGTATGGGTATGAGTAAAACCCGAACTACTTTGGGTAGGGTAACGGATATGTACTATCCGTCCCCGACCCGACCCATTGCCATCCCTAATTGTGGATAGGCAGGAAAAAGGAGTTGATGAGGAAGAAGATTTCCATGGTAAAGGTTATATGGAGGAACCAGGCAGCGAGGCTGCAACTTGGGAGACCGAGGGTAGCATGAGAGAGAAGTACCCAGAGTTGTTTAACGATACTTAGATCAGTGGTTGGTTACTCTCTTTGTACTTTCTCGTTTAATTTTTGTTACTCGGTATTCAAGAATAGACCATGTGATGCATTTATGTTCCACCATAGCTAACAACTCTGTTCAGCCAAAAATTTCGGGGTCGAAATTTCTTAAGGGGGTGGGGAAAATGTTATATCCCAACTAGCATCGTTCCTTCAAATACAACGTTGCATCATAAAAGGGACTTTCGTTCAAATTTCGGGGACGAAATTTTTATAAGGGTGGAGGAAATGTAACACCCCGACATTTGGGTCTAGGGATGATATACGGTGACATCCCTCAAGGGGGTTGTGAATTTCGCTACCCACATCTTAACCTTCTATTTCATTCTCTTTCTTCCTATTTTCAAATTAACGGTACAGATTGGATTAAGGGTATTTTTGGAAGAAAAAATTTACCACATTAGATCATTAACCCTATTAATTACCCAAAATCCTAATTAACTCTATTTCCCCTCTCTCTCTACCGCCATCACCAACCATTCTCTCTTCTTCTTCGTCCTTTTCTTCTTCTTCCTCCCATCTCTTTCTCTCTCTCTCTCTCTCTCTCTCTCTCTCTCTCTCTCTCTCTCTCTCTCTCTCTCTCTCTCTCTCTCTCTTCTGCAAACACCGTCGGAGTCCTCTCGCCGACCCGTTGCACCCTCCGCTTCCCACCACCGCATCGCCACATCCCCTCGCCGCAGCCCTCCCACCGCATCGTCGAGCCCTCTGCCTCCCACCACTGCCGCAGCCCTCTCGCCGCCCTCCCACCACTGCTGCATCGCCATCCCTACGACGGTGCATCGCCATCCCTACGACTCTGTCTCCCACCACCACTGCCACGAGGTCCCTACGCGATGTCACAAACTCCCCCTTTCCTCACCCTTTTTTTGCAGATCGGTTTTTTTTTAATTTTAGACTAGTGGTACTGATTTTCATCTGGTAGTGTACCACTAGCATCTGGTAGCTGCTAGTGGTACTACCATATGGTAGTGCCCAGATCTTAGTGGTATCATACCACTATCGTTTGGTACCACTACCATCTGGTAGGCGCTACTGGTACGCTACCACTACTCACTGGTACGTACCAATGACTAGTGGTATCGTACCAGTGACTAGTGGTAGCGTACTAGTATTCACTGGTATGATACCTTTGGTAGTTTTTACGTACCACTAGACAAAAATCATTACCATTAGCGCATTGATGGAGTGGTACTTTTTTGTAGGTTTCCGGAGCGAGTGTGATTAAAGGATTTCATCGGAGAAGGTCTGCCGGTCGGAGAAAATCAGCCGGTCGGAATCAGTGGCTGCTGGAAAAGGAAGAGAGAGATAGGAAGAGAGAGAAACATATTTGTGATAGGATTTAAATTTTAAATTAAAATAATGTATTTAATATGTGTTTTAATTTCCCAAAATATAACTAATATAAAAAGAAAAGTAATTAATAAGATTCTTTTTGCACTACACAAATTGTCCTTGGTTGTCAAACTCACAACCCCCTTGAGGGATGTCACCATATCCCATCCCCTAGGTTCAACCAAAAAGTTGGATCGAGGGTTAACATACGATTGGTTTTTTTTTTCGTTTAATCAGTTGCAATTGTATTACCAAATCTATATGCAGAGTACATATAGGGACTGATACAACGAAAAGGGTCACTCAAGGTGAATAACCCTGCAGAGAAACAAAACCCCCCAAAAAACTCCCACCTGACTACTCAACTTCCCAACCCAACCTATAGAAAACCAGCAGTAGCCAGGTCTGCCTGTAAGTCACTATCCTCACTACCCAGGTACAATAAACCCGAGATAATCAATCTGCCAAGAGTTGTAGCATCTCTGGGTGGCAATTGGTGTTGTCTGCTGCATCTCTCACGCCACAGGTAAGCAATACAAGCACACCAGAAGATCCCTACAAGCCTTCCTGTCGAAGTCCCCCTCTTGTTCAAGGCAACAGCAGCCTGCACACTTCCCTGCCAACTCGGTCTACATAACAAATTACCCTCTCTCCAGCATGAAACAACCTGTAAAGAGTAAGAACACTGAAAGAACAGATGCTCTCTGGTCTCCACCAATCCCCTACAAAGCAAGCAAGAACCATCCATTGTCTTACCCCATCTTACCAGCTTATCTTTGGTAATGATGCCATCCAGTAGGACCAGCCATGCAAGCAGACTATTGTTAGGTAGGTGCTTCTTCCCCCATACCAGTTTTGCCCACTCCACCCTTTGATGTTC